GGGGGGGCACACGGACACGGACACAGCACACCAGGAACTCTGCGTCCCACCACTACACACTCACCTTGAACAGAAATCCTGGGGGCATGTCAGCTCTTTCAGATGAAGCGCCTCCTTCCACAGTGCCATTGACGGTAGCAGGGAAAGTTTCCACAACAACAGCAGGTAGAGAGCTCTGGTAGGCAGCAGCAGCCAGGGAAGGAAAAAAAGCCATTGAGAAAAGAGAATCCAAAATTGCAGCTCCAAGCCCACCCTGGAAGATCCACATCCCAACCCTACCCATGGCTTCAGTGGGTTTTCCCAGCACACCAGTCAGTGACAAAAACACCCCAAAGGACAGCAGAGTCAGCAGTGAGAAGGCAGGAGAGGTGACCACTGTCTTCCTTTGCTTAAGGCTGCAGAAGGGCAGAGAGGATTTAGAGTTTTTCTGGGACTATAATGCCCAGCATTTCCCATTCACTGCGGTCATGACGCAGTTCTTGTAGAGCCCTCGTGGAACAGACAACTCAAATGCAACAGCCTATAGGAACCAAGTGGCCACGAGATGGGACCTACTCCAGTCCCCTAAAAAAGTGGCAGTGTCAGGAAAAAAAGAGGAACCCTGGATATTCAGGGGACACAGGCAGAGCTCAGAAGACAGGGTAGGTAAAGTAAACGGCAAGCAAGGAGGAATCCAGTAGACAACACAAGTTTAGCACAGCATGGGCTGTGGGCTGGCTTCACAACATGGGTGAAGGGACAGTTCTTTTTGTGGATCTTCCAGCAGAGCTTCTCCCTAAGCATTACACAGATAAAATGCAACGGCTAAGTCTGGCCTCTGAATAAGAGCATTGTAACTGCTGGGGTGGCAGGGATGTGTTTTTCCAAGCAGCCCCACATCTCTTTTCCCAGCCCAGCCTCCCACATCTGCTGTATGACAAAGGGATGTGATGGAGAAAAGGGACTGCTGTCCCTTGAGGTGCTTACCGATCCTGAATCAGCTTCAGTTTTAGATGCTTCAGCTCCAGCTGCTGCTTCTGATCCAGCTGCTTCAGCTCCTGCATGGGCTGCTTCTGCAGGCTGCAATACAAAAGTCATCCAGGTGGAGAGTTATGCTCATTACAGCTATGTGTGCATACAGAAAAGTGCAGCTGTCTGTCCAAGTGCTCTGTGCTGTTGACTGCTGCCATCTGCTGACAAATAGATGAGAAACCTCAGGACCTTGCTAGGTTTCTGTCTCCCTCTTTCTCTGCAACCCGGTGAAATCACAGTAAAGCCTGCATTCCCTCACTCAGCCATGTAGCAGGCAATACTCCAGAGGAAAGAAATGAAACGCCAAAAATCCCGTGCACCTCTTTCTTTTCACTATCTAAATCGCAGACCTACTTTACACATGCACAGTATCTATTATTACATACAGATTGCCCACTTGTATGTGAATACAAGTCTGCTTGCATGCCAAGGGACAAGGATCTCTCAGTAGGCTACTTCCAAGGATCAACAATTAAGGAATGTTTAAGCCTTTGCATACTCCCAGAAACAGAAAAACATGGTAATTATGTGTCCAAATATGGAACTTAGTCTGGACCCAGCATCTACATGACATTAGCACTGAATTAAACTGAACTGAAAACTGTGCTAAATTTCACCCAATTTAATTTTGGATAGGCCCAGAGTCTCATGAATTTGGATTCTGTTGTGAATATTCTGTTAGTAAAAATTTGCTATGAATATTCCACATGGTGTGTGCACACATTTGTGTTCGTGGAGAGGGGAGTTTCTAATGCACAAAAGCTGCCACCACCAAGGACAAATATTCAGCATCACCTACAAATCACTGCCTGGCACAGACCATTCTAGGAAGCCTGCGGACAGGGTTTCCTGCGCACAACAAAACCAAACACCTCTGAAACACTTCCAGCGGTTCAAGTTTTTATTCTCCCTTGCCTGAAGTCAGGCTAACTCTGTTTTAACACAAAATTAAAGATATTCATTTGCCCCTCCCAGAAACCGCAGCAACACAGGAAGTAAGTTGGATCCGGTAGCATCAACGCTGCAGATCAGCCCCTTGGGAGACTAGCCAGGGAGCACCTGGGAAGACTCCTGACGAGAATCTCAGGGGTCTAATTTGCAGCCCGAGTGTCTTCATTCATGGCCAGTCTGTATCCATTTGTTCTCTATACCAGGCACACGCACCTCTTTGCGGAATCTAACCAGATACCCACTTTATACTTGCACAATAGAGATTGCCATAGAGATCTCCCATTTTTAATACATGTGAATAAACCAGCTTTAGCATGCCTACATGCCTCATACATTTGGTAAACACATGTACGCCTGAACACAACCACGTTCAAAACAAGGCATTGTCCACATTTTTTGATGTTGCAATTCTCATAGTCCCAACCCTACAAAAGCCCAGTGTAAACCAATGACCATGGTAACCCTTAACTCTACACCCATCTGGCTACTAGCCATGCACTGGCACAATGCTCCAAGTAGTTTTCTAGTAACAGCAGCAATAATGAAGAAATAAATCCTTGATTTAACAAAAAGCCATTACTTTACCTTCAGCTGCTCCAATGGTGCCATTTAACCCATGCTTTCCTCTCCTATCACATCTTTCCTCATGTCTCCCATCACCATGTCCACAGGCCTATACTGCCAGAGGCTATTATAAACAGCAGAGCTGTTCCTATCCTGCAGAGGATTCCCACAGCAGCTTTGGTAGTGCTAAGGTAAATGTATGCATATGAAATGCTACAAAGGCTTCTCCTGTTTAATTAGATTCACTGCCAGGTTGCTTTTTATTTGGATTCAGTGAAACTGAAACTGGGACAGATGCCAGCCCAACTCTATCTGGCCAAGCATGGTTTTTATGTGGACAAGTGAAAAGGAGCTCAACGTGAGCTCCCTTTTTAAAAGCAGCTAATTTGCAAAAACAGTAGTTAATAACCAGAGAAACTGAAACTAAATTAATCCCCTGGATTTCAAAGGGTGTTTTCATGTCAGCTACTTATTTTTCTATTTTATGTACCTGTGGGCACCCCAAGGCCTATAAAAGCATTTACAGTCATAGAAAGATACTATAGGGAGAAGAGGAAGAATTGCTCACTGCTGTTGCCAGGTTTGAAAGCTTTGCTTATTCCAACAGCAGCATCATACACACCAAATGCAAGTTTCCTAGTCTGCAGAACTAAGCAAGTTCTGCTGCATCCAAGTTTCTATGCAGTTGTTAGCCTCATGGCATGTGGGAGTATGTAACCATGCAACAAGTCTCCTCTCATCAACAGCTAAGAACAATATTAGACCAAAAACACTTCAGAAGACTTGAAGAGCAAGAGGAGGATTCCCCAGCTATAGGGAGCTCTGCTCTTTAACTGTGTATGGTATGCCAAGGTCAGAATTGGCATGGTAAGAACATCTTGTCTAGTAGCATTCCCCGGTTGATTAAATTGTCCTTTGGGTGAAATCAGTTTCCAGGATGGGAGAAATGGCCCAAAACAGTTTTTACACCCCAGACTGTAAGCACAGCTCAATCAGGTACAGTCATAGCTCACCCCTGCCCATCCACTTGAAAGGCACGAGATCTTTCCTTGCAAAAACACAGACTTCTTTTCTTTCTTACTAAGACAGACTGACAATGCACATACATGGGAATGACAGATGTTAAACACTGATAGCTGATAAAACACACAAGGGAAACATCTTTCTTGACGTGACCCAAGCTCACGTGAAAGAGAGCACTGGCCACAGTGAGTTCCTGGGCCAGACTCTCAGCAAGGGTTAAGTTATGTCCTCCCAAGTACTGACTCTAGGTGGTGATCTGGCCCTTGAGAATGGAAAGGTTGGCAGGACTCGATTCCCCAGCATAAGCCAAGGACTTGTGCTTACATCTACACCATGGGATATAGCCAGCTCAAATAGCAGGCTTGAGTACTCAGACCAAGCATTTTCTGTCCACACTGCTGGCTGTTTGTCCAGAGGGGCTCAAAAGTACTTCTGCTTGAAGTATCTCCCAATGGGACAATCTGCAGCAATCTGAGACCTTCCCAGGCCCGATATATCTAGAGGGCATAAATGAGGGTCTGGATTTGGTTCAGATGCAGAGCATGCGTAGGGTCTCCCTTGCCAGCAAGCTCCAAAGCTGACATTGAGGCAGATGCCAGGTAAATCTTGAGCCTGCACTGAACTTTCAGTGTAGACACAGGCTGAGCTATTTCACATCAGCCTTTCTGGCAACAATGGTCAATGAACAGCAAACACCACAGATAATTCCAAACGTGTATGTATACCCAATGGTACAGGCAGTAAGGACAAGGGGCAGCTGAGACATTTATGCATCGCACACAAGACCAACAGGATGTGGAGTTTAGGAAATACTGGGCAGTGGAGGGTGAAGATGATGCCACAATGGGATTAAGTTTGAGGAGAACGTCACAGTATCATGCCAAAGGAAAGATGAGTGAGTTAGCAGGGAAAGGCAATGGGATTGTGCGCTGGTGGAGACATAAGTTTCAGAGTGCCAGACCTGACTTGCAAACATGTGGCTGCCCCTGGGGCTTCACAGGTGGTGTAAAGGTGGGAAAAGCAACTTTGGTTTGGGGTGTACAGAAAGGAAAAGCAGCGAGGGAAAGGAGACAGGTATGCGCAAAGAGATGGCACTGGCACATGCACAGCACATGATGAGAGATGAAAGCCATATGAAGTTCTTACCTCCCATAAATCCCAAGGTAAAGACTAAGCATGTCAAAGAGCAACAAAAATAAAACATGTTTATACGTGATTATTTCAGTGAGTACAAACATTACAGATGTTGATCAGACTGAAGCAGACATACACATTCAACAGCACTTATCTCTGCATGTTTTAAAAATATTTTTTTAGTACCTGAATTTATACACCCCTCCCTACTGCATATTCAAATTTAAGCACCAAGGCATTTGAGTACGGGTTTTTTCTACCTCTGGTATGAAGGGAGACAGCCAAGCCACAGTCAGTTATCAGTGGCAGACCACATAGCCAGAAAAAAAAACCTCATGAGTTTGTGGCCCATCAGGGTGGATATCCACACCCAATAGAGTTAATATAATTTCAGAAACAAGACTTCAACTGGTGTCTTTAATTGTGAAATATCTTAACCTCTTTGCCATAGCGCCCACCCTATAGGAAATAAATTTGACTGCTTTGAAAACTAGGTGGCTTTTGCTATGTTTTGTACTGCGGTTACCATTAGAAAGTATTGATTTCAGACTCTTTCTTTTATTGACTTCTGAAGCTAATAATAAATACATTAGAACACCAAATATGCTATTGCTGAGCAGTTTTGAAAAACCCACTCAGGGTAATATTTGTTGCTTGCCAGAAGGGTAACAAATAATTCCATTTTAAGTTAAATTTATACTCGTATCATCCCACGCCAGTATACCCAATTATCCAAGTTATAACTGGTGATTC